CACCCCCCCACCCCCCAAAATCAGTTTTTCCTGTTTTTCAAGAGGAAGAGGAAGACTATTTCATGAAATAAAATTCCCGATAGCTACGCCAAATGAGATTTTTACAACTCTCGCAAGTGCGTTTGGTGCATAAAGTTTCATTTTGTATTTCTGAAATGGTTGGTGGACTAAATCTGCAGCGTAAAAGAGGGTGTGACATGAGAATATTAATATAAAATGAAATAATAAAAAAAAATTATAAAAAGGATTTTTACGAAAAAATTTACACTTAACCGGAGAGCAACATAAATTAGGTGTCTATCAACCTGGTTGTGTTGATGCAAATATTAGATTTTTAAGATGATACAAAATAGTGTTGTTTATAAATTTTCAAAATTTAGAATTTAAATATTAATTTCGTTAAACTAATTCATTAAGAAATGAATTTTTAAAAAAAAATTAAATTATTTCCACACACAAAAGTGGCCCTAAAAAATCAAGTATAGTAATGACCTTCCTAAATATTTCCAAGCTGTACCAGATTTAAAAAAAAAACAGTGAAAAGGGATATTGTTTTGTAGAAAAGGTCTAAATGACGACTTTAATATAAATTGTTTTTAAATGGAAAACAATTATATTGATGACTATTATTTTTAAAGCATGACGGCATTATACAATTAACAACCTGCCCTATATTTAAAAGTTCAACTTACATGGTAAATAAATACAAATTCAAACTATAGGCCTTTATAGCGATGGAAAGTTAGTTTAAATAGAGGCGTTGTACAGGCCGCACTTTTCCCACCATAAGGACGCATACAAGACGAGACGTGAGCTCTAGCTGCTGTGGAACCACTGGCTACCGCAATGACTGGGTGACTTTCGCCATTACACAGGCCAGATGTAGCATTGACAGAATAACATTACACAGGCCAGATCTAGCATTGACAGAATAAACTTACTTGAAAAATGAACAACACGTTTTATAACATTAATTTTATTTATGTCTATTTAGCCCTCATTACACCCCCCCCCACCACCCCAACGCTGTCCATTTTTACCTCATTTTGGGGTGATTTACCCAAATTCGCATGCAACTGAAATACGTTTTTTTTTAACTAGTTATTTTGCAAAATCAAAATGATAAAATTACTGGTGCGCAAAAATATACCAACAACATCAATTATTTTGTTTAGCTTAGAGATCTCTCATTGGTGTTTCACTCTTCTTAAAAGGTTAAACTTACATTTGCAAACCTTTGTGTGTGTAAATTATTCGATTTTATTTTTTATTATATTCTCCGGAGGGGGTGGGGAGCGGAATTGTCGGTCGGCCCCCTCCCCCCCCCCGCCCCCATTGCCTGGGAAAAAAAGGGGGTAGGCAAACATACAATGTAAAAACTACCGATATAAGTGAATTTCAGGAAGGGGAGAGGTCGCTTAAAACAGGAAGCGGTCTATTTGTGAAACAATAATTTTGTCTTTAGGATCGATTACTGTACTTGTTGTATCTAGATTTACCTTAAATGTATCGGATCATCAAATATATTGATTGTAACGATATTTCATGGGTTCCACTGCTTCATTGATCTTAGTAAACCTTTCTTTTTTAAAAGGACAATTTATTAGTTTCTCTATATCCGCTTTATTGTTGTACACATTTTTCTCGGGGCACAAACACCCCCCCCCCCCCCCCCCCNCCCCCCCGTAGAGTTGACTGAAATAAACACTTCCTAATGCAATATTTTTTTGCTGCCATTATGTTCAATATTCCACGACCTGAATTGTATTCTATAAATAAATGGCTTGGCCACTTTGTTAAAAACAATGTGTGTATTATAATATTAGTATTACTATTTTATGCTATGCCTATGTCGATGTTCCAATAGTTCACTTTCTCTTCCTCCGTATTTTCTTTTCCAATGCTTCCAATCAATCACTCAGTACTCGTGTAGTTATTATGTGCAGACTTATTTTAAACCTATTGTTGTTATTGCTTTCGACATGCACCTGAACTATAATGACCGCCATGCTTTTTTTTTGTGTGTCTCCAGCCAGCCAGGCCAGCATGTACGAGGATGAGCTGTTCAGCCAGCGGGCCCGGGCCTTCCCCCTGTCCCACGGGCTCATGCCCTCGCCACAGTTCTCACCGTTTGCATTCTCCATGCACCATGACCCCATGTCACTAGCAGGTAAACATTTGCTCTTTACATATTACATGGGTTTTATTAATTTTTTCCCCCCTTTAATTTCTTGGCACCTCAGACTTTTCTTAAGAATTGATAACAATGATGTCAGCAGTGGTGTCAACAGATCCACGGCAAAGGATTTCCCCTAAGACATTTCAAACAACTCCTACGCCATCATATTATGACGTCATGAATCTATTTTCTTGTTTGTTGTGATATAAACAGTCTTACTGTCTCCCCGGATTGGAGAGTTTCATCTAGTTCTGAACGTGTCATGGAGCCTCAATGACGCCATACAAACGATGCCCTGCTTAATGGCCTGGTAGAATCCCATCCATGATTTATCCCATCTATGATAAATCCCATCTATGATTTATCCCATATATGATTCATCACATCTATGATTTATCCCATCTATGATTTATCCCATCTATGATTTATCCCATCTATGATTTATCCCATCTTTGATAAATCCCATCTATGATTTATCCCATCTATGATTTATCCCATCTATGATTTATCCCATCTATGATTTATCCCATCTATGATTAATCCCATCTATGATAAATCCCATCTATGATAAATCCCATCTATGATTTATCCCATCTATGATTTATCCCATCTATGATTTATCCCATCTATGATATATCCCATCTATGATTTATCCCATCTATGATAAATCCCATCTATGATTTATCCCATCTATGATTTATAATCGCAAGATTAATCCCATCAATGTCGGAAGATCTCAATTTATTTCCTGATTTTTATCGTAAACGTTTTTTGTTGTTGGTTTTTTTTGTTTTTTTTTGTGTTTTTTTTGGGGGGGGGGGGGGGGGGGGGGGTGGTTGTTTTTTTTGGTTTGAAATTCATTTTCTTTTAAAAAAATAAAATAAAACGTTAAATTATTTTTTTTTTTTTTTTTTTTTTTTTTTTTTTTTTTTTTTTTTTTTTTTTTTTTTTTTTTTTTTTTTTGTGGGGGGTGGGGAGGGGGGGAGGTTGTTGTATTTTTTGGTCTGAAATTCATCTTCATTTAAAAAAATAAAATAACACGTTAAATTGAGGCCCAAAATGAAGGTCTGAGTTCAGGCGTGACGTGCCGTCATGGCGATGCTATTGGGTTCTGCATCTCAGATCCCTTCCCGTAATTCATCAGATTATCTTCCTTTGTGACGTCACAGCTATTTCAGTATCAGTTTACGGATATTTGCTGCCTTTTAATTGGTTACGAGTTCAAAGCTCACACAGTGGCTATATCATTCAATTAACATGTATGCAAAGTGCCATCTTTGTGGGGCTGCGAAGTGCTTTCCTGGCCCCTAAACAAACAGTATCGAATTGCGGCATTTTAAAACACAGGAGTTTTATGACCATTAAAAAAATCAAAATAGGATAATTTTTTTAGTGGGGGGGTGGTGGGGTGGGTTATAATTTGAGGACATGGTATATCAGGTTCAACCTCGCTGAGTTCCTCCATGAGAAGTATACCTATTTTAATTGATCCGATGTGTGCAATGCTACTTACTGGCCAGACAGAATGCGATTGGTCAGACGGAATGCGACTGGTCAGATCTAATGCCACTGGTCAGATCTAATGCGACTGGTGACATCTAATGCGACTGGTGAGATCTAATGCGACTGGTGAGATCTAATGCGACTGGTGAGATCTAATGCGACTGGTGAGATCTAATGCGACTGTTCAGATCTAATCCGACTGGTTAGATCTAATGCGACTGGTGAGATCTAATGCGACTGGTGAGATCTAATGCGACTGGTCAGACAGAATGCGACTGGTCAGATCTAATGCGACTGGTCAGATCTAATGCGACTGGTCAGATCTAATGCGACTGGTGAGATCGAATGCGACTGGTGAGATCTAATGCGACTGGTGAGATCTAATGCGACTGGTCAGATCTAATGCGACTGGTCAGATCCAATGCGACTGGTCAGATCCTTACTGGGGGTTGGGGGCTGGTGGGGTGGGGTGGGTTATAATTTGAGGACATGGTATATTAGGTTCAACCTCGCTGAGTTCCTCCATGAGAAGTATAACTATTTTAATTGATCCGATGTGTGCAATGCTACTTACTGGTCAGACAGAATGCGATTGGTCAGACGGAATGCGACTGGTCAGATCTAATGCGACTGGTGAGATCTAATGCAACTGGTGAGATCTAATGCGACTGGTCAGATTTAATGCGACTGGTGAGATCTAATGCGACTGGTCAGATCTAATGCGACTGGTCAGATCGAATGTCAGGTTTCAGAGGTCTAGTCAGTATGCTTTCCACCCGCGACACCCCTTACGGGAGACTACCCCTCAGACCGGAGGTCTTGGTCAGTTATCCGAAGTTGATTGACCTTACCCTTAGAGGTCACAGGATAGAATCATCAGTTCCCACCAGTCATGCGAGCCTGCTTTTTGTATTTAACAGAGGTCATGGGAGCTTGATTGTAGTATTCCACAGAGGTCATTCGAGCTGGCTTGTGGGGGTACCATAAGTCAGATGTATATTGTGGCGACACATCAAAGCACAAAGTAATTTCTGGCTTTGAACATTCTAGAAGCTGCAAATCGACTTCATATAAAAATTGTTTTATTATTATTATAAAGGCCCAATTGCTGCTAAAGGTCCAATTCCTGCACGCCGTACCCACCCCCATCCCCTTCTTAGCTATAGTCTAGTGACCATCACAACGCAGCTCTTTCAAAAAAAAAACTAAAGTAATACGTTAGTAGAATTTGAAAAGAGAAATTAGGTTTTAAAGTTGTTGTTACTGCTCATAGATAGTATGCTGCTTGTATCAGGTTTAAAAACATAACCATTATGTTCTTCCAGTGAGCCAGGGCCAGCAGTTTGGTGGCTACCATCACCTGAGCTCTCCCGACCACAAGCGGGTGCTGACCGGAAGTCAGGCCGACACGGTGGATAAAAACATCAAGGTGACCTTGGAGAACAGGGAGCTGTGGGGCAAGTTCCACTCCCTGGGAACAGAGATGATTATTACCAAGACTGGACGGTGAGTACATGTGACGTCTTGACATCAGAGGTTCCCAAACCAGTGGGCCGAGGACTTTAAAAACTGAAAAGGCTCATTGTGGATACGTGGGAAGGAATCATTTTAACACGAATGCACACCTTAGAATCACAAAATTAGGTTTGTGGGAGGGGGGGGGGCTGATTTAAACCTGATATTTTTTTAAAATTTTAATGTCAGGCCGACCTACACTAGTTTATAAGAACAATAACTTATAAGTTTGCAAACGTTGAAAAATAATTAAATTTCTTAGAAAATGGCATACATTAAATTTAATGCCAATAGATTTTGATGCCAATAATTATTGAATCAGACGAACCAATGAATGACACACGATGTCCTTGATCTCTGCCAGTGTCACCCGCGTACATCTCTTTACTGACGCCGTACAAATCTCGCGATTGATTGTTTGTAATTTCAACTGTTTTGATGTGAGCGTGATGTTGGTTTGTAGTTTGAACTGTCATTGACGCGAACTCTTAACGGGCAATTAACGATACAAAGCAAATCTGCGTCCTTTTTTTTTGTCTTTCAATTGTTTTCTTACTATATTTATATCTTTAAAAAAATATCTCAATGGATTCAAGTCTGGATACACCAGATATCCATTTCTTCTCCTAACATCTCCATCGTTCCCGAGGAAAAAAAAGGAGGGGAGGGGAGGAAATGAAAAACCCCATTCTGAGTCCGACTCCGTACATGAAAACTGTAAGCGTATACTATAATCACGGAGTCTGGGGTGGTTCCGTGCGCCGGTGGGCGACATTCGAACAAACCGCTGACGTTTTACGATAGAAATCAAAACCAGGCTTGTGTCAGTTGTCAGTCCCGACCGAACAATGGCCGCCCCGTACCGGTTGGGGGGGAAGGGTGGTGGGTTGGGGAAGACTATACGACGGTGCAACGTTCTGGTACGATATCCCTCCGGCGTACGACGGGCTCGTTATGAGACGCACACGATACGCGATCCGAAATTTTTATTATCTTAAGTCGCTCTTCCCAGACAATGCGATTCGCATCTTATCGCCTCTTAATTTTGGCCGTTCCCAGTGTTGCTTTACCGTGGGGAACAGATCCTTTACGGCATAACAGTGTCAGAACGGCCATGCGGGAGGCGTCACCCTAATGTAGCAGACCGCCATTCTATCCCGAGCCATCTCCCGCCAGAAATGACATTCTAATACGGATTAATGCCAGATTACAAATGATGCTACATTAATTGTAAGAGTAGCCAAAGTTCTCAGGGGTTCTCATACTGGAGTTTTTCTTTTCTTTTTTTAAATAATGGTCGGAGAAACATTTTCCACAAGCTCTCAAACTTTTTGATCAGACTTTCAAACAAAATGCGACGATAACTTCTTTTATTTGTCTGAGTGTCTGTGTGCCTGTGTGTCTGTGCTTCTGTGTGTATTGTCGTGATCTGGTCATTTTTCAGATTTCTTTTTTGACAAACTCATTTTTTTGTGTGAAGCCAAATACACTGCGTTATAGTACTACATAGGCTGCAGACTGTTTTGGGCTTTTGTTGTGAATTTAACATGGCGGGCTGTCCGGTTCTATTGGACGTGTTGGTGATGTCCGGGTACATGGGATGCGTTGGTGTTGTCCGGGTACATGGGATGCGTTGGTGCTGTCCGGTTACATTGGACGTGGTAGTGTTGTCCGGGTACATTGGACGTGGTGGTGCTGTCCATATACATTGGATGTGTTGGTGTTGTCCGGTTATATTGGACGTGTTGGTGCTGTCCGGTTATATTGGACGTGGTGGTGCTGTCCGTATACATTGGACGTGTTGGTGCTGTCCGGTTATATTGGACGTGGTGGTGCTGTCCGTATACATTGGACGTGTTGGTGCTGTCCGTATACATTGGATGCGTTGGTGTTGTCCGGTTACATTCGACGTGTCTGTGTTGTTCAGTTACATTGGACGTGTTGGTGCTGTCCGGTTATATTGGACGTGGTGGTGCTGTCCGGTTATATTGGACGTGGTGGTGCTGTCCGTATACATTGGACGTGTTGGTGTTGTCCGGTTACATTGGACGTGTCTGTGTTGTTCAGTTACATTGGATGTGTTGGTGCTGTCCGGGTACATTGGACGTGTTGGACGTGTTGGTGTTGTCCGGTTACATAGGATGTGTTGGTGTTGTCCGGGTACATTGGATGTGCTGGTGTTGTCCAGTTACATCAAGCTGATTAAATCATGAACTTCCTACGCGTTAATTGACAAAGACACCCATGAATTTAATTCAGGTCCAATAGTTTGATTTTAATTGAGGCAATAATTTCTCGCGTCAGTAAACTTGTTCATCTGCTATGTCGATGAAATATAAGGGGGCGTCCATTATTTATGTCAACAAAATAGAGGGTGTGGGGGGGGGGGGGGCAAACCATGACGTTATTAATGAACGAGCCCTAACTTAATCCATTTCTGCCGCTTACATACTTCTTTGCCCGAGACTTCATGGCTTTGTTATTTTTTTTTTCCTTTCTAAAAATT